TTGTCAGCATTAATACAATGCAGACACACAACTTTTATTCTACTAGGTTTACTAGTCAAATAATTTCTTGTCTTTTTTTGGTGCTGGGGATTAAGCTAGGCAAATGCCCTACAGCAAAGCTGCACCTCTAGCTCTCAAGTTTTTTTTTTTATCTTAACTAAATATTTACAATCATAAAGCTGAGTTAAAACTAAGAAACAAGCCAGACGTAATGGTGCATGCTCATAAACCTAGCTGCTTGGGAGGCTGAGGTAGGAGGAATCCAAGTTTATGGCCAGTCTCAGCAACTTAGACTGTGCCTCAAAATAAAAAAATAAAAAGGGCTGGGTGGATAGAGCGTCCCTTGGTTCAATCTCCAGTATGTGTGGGGTAAGGAAATGACAAGTTTTCCTGGAAGCACTGGTGTGCTCTTTCACTTTTTTCTTTATTTTTATTATTGTTAATTGTACATGCTTATGAGGTACAGTGTGATAATTACCCACATATGTACAATGTGTGCAGATTCAATCAGGATAGTTAATGTTTCCATCTCCTTATCATTATTTTGTCTTTGGAGCTCCTGGCTGTTCTGTTCTTGATAAGAGATTGTGAACGTATCTCTTAAATAATCTGCCTAAGGGGGAAAAAATCTGTTTTATCAAGATAATTTCCTGTGCTTCCTATGGTCTTCATTAGTTTTATTTTGTTTTGGTACTAGGAATTGAACTCAGGGCACCCAACCACTGAGCCACATCCCCAGTGCTATTTTGTATTTTATTTAGAGACAGGGTCTCAATGAGCTGCTTAGCTTTTTTGCTGAGGCTGGCTTTGAACTCCCTAACCTCCTGTGTCAGCCTCCCAAGCCACTGGGATTACAGGCTTGCACCACTGCACCTGGCTCATTAGGGTTTTTTTAATTAATAAGTTTGAAAGACTGGAGGGGTAGCTTGGTGGTGGATTTGTTGCCTACCATATTTGGGGCCCTGGGTTCTATCCCCAGCACCACATAAAAATCAAAACCCAAAAAAACTGAGTGTTTTCAGTTTTAAAAGTTTTTACACAATCATGTAACTTTCTGTATTTGTCTTTCACTCTGTTATTGCTTCACAACGATCTGTGACTTCATTTAATCGAAAGTTCTAAAAAAAAATTTTTTTTGGTACTAGGGATTAAGCCCAGGACAGCTTAACCACTAAACCACATCCTCAGCCTTTTTTATGGTTTATTTTGTTTTGATATAGCGTCTCACTGAATTGCTTGGGACTGTTAAGTGGCTGAGACTGGCTTTGAACGTGCAATCTTCCAGCCTTAGCCTCTAGAGCTGTTGGGATTACAGGCCTGTGTCACCTTGCGCTCCAAACCTTTTGATAGTGTCCAAAATCAAATTCTAAATTGTCTTTATTTTTAACCTCAAACTAACTTTAAGATTTTCCAGATGGGTCCTTGGAATATCTCAAAATAATTTGTTCTCTTTAAAAAAAACAAAGATGTTAAACTAATAAGGCTTTTTTTTTAAGGACTTGCAAGTGCTAAGCATATGCTCTCCCACTGAGCTACACTCCCCCCCAGCACTAATTAGGCTTATCTGATGTTAAATTATATGGGGAGCATCCTCAAATAAGTGATGCTCACTAAGCCTTCTTTAGGTAATAAATATAGATAAGTGTTATTAACATAAGTATTCTAGAAGTTGTATGAAATTTCTAGTAATCTGATACATCCTGGTATAATGAGCTATATTACATATCAGTCATAATGATAGTTATCTTAAAATATTGTATGCTACAGAAATTATAAAATTTACTTGTCAACTTCATTATAATGAACTTTCATTAGAATTTTATTTGTACCAAGGATTGAACTCAGGTTCACTAAGCCACTGAGCCACTTTTTTTAAGACAGGGTCTCACTGAGTTGCTTCTTGCCTCACTAAGTTGCTGAGGCTGCCTTTGAAGTTTCCATCCTCCTGCCTCAGCCTTCCAAGCCACTGGGATGACAAGTGTGTGCCACTGTGCCTGGCTCATCAGATTTTTTTTTTTAATATTTTTAGCATTGGATAGACACAATAGCTTCATTTATTTAACTTTATTTGTTTATTTATATTTTACGTGGTGCTGAGGATTGAACCAAGTGCCTCGCACGTGCTAGGCAAGTACTCTACCACTAAGCCATAACCCTAGCCCTCATCAGATCTTAAACTGTGGCCATTTTAAGGATTTTGTTATCCACTGACAATTATTATTTTATTCTGATGCTTTCCTAAAGCTTTTGTGAGCAACCATAACCCTATAAATCTGCCTTCGAGATTTATGGAATGGACTCTAAAAAGTACAGGTTTTTGACTGAATCTAAGGAAACTTTTTCAGCAGTTTGGTAAAGTACACTCTTTGTAAACTTAAATTAAACATTTCCTATTTCTCCCTAATTGATCTTTCCAGAATTCAGAAATTTTTAGTGAATGTTCTTATTTTCATGACAGAACAGGTATTTGTGTAAGTTCAATAAGAACCTGTTTCTTATAGGACACAGTTGGAAATATTGCAGTATTACCAAACCTTTGACCAGAATGTCACATTTGAAAGTATGACTAGGGCCATATATGACCAAATTGGTTTTTTTTTTAAATATTTATTTATTTATTTTTAATTCTCGGTGGACACAACATCTTTGTCTGTATGTGGTGCTGAGGATCGAACCCGGGCCGCACGCATGCCAGGCGAGCGCACTACTGCTTGAGCCACATCCCCAGCCCCGTGACCAAATTGTTTTAAGGAACTAAAGTTGAGTTTAAGAAGCCAATTAAAGGGCTGGGGATGTGGCTCAAGTGGTAGTGCGCTTGCCTGGCATGCGCGGGGCGCTGGGTTGGATCCTCAGCACGACATAAAAATAAAGTAAAGATTTAAAAAAAAAAGAAGCCAATTAAAGCCCTTGAGTGTGAGGAGCTAAACTACTCTGGTGCCTTAAATACATGGTTTCTTTCTACAATTGTATCAGGCCCAGGAACCTCAGTGTGTTTGGGGAGCCTCCAGGTAAAATCACCTAAATCTATAGATATTGCAAAGTCATATGACAAATATTTAGTTTTCTGGCCTCAAAAGTGTGTGTGTGTGTGTGTTTGTGCGTGCGCGCATGTGTGCACACGTGCGCTTACTAGGGATCGAACCCAGGATCTCAAGCATGATAGGTAAGCATTCCACCACTGAACTACACCTCCAGCTCTAGATTCTGAATATTTTAAAGTGGAGTCATCAGAATTTGCTCATATGGATGGAGAACTGTGATAGGAAAAGAGGAGTTCAGGATAATTTCCAAGATTTTGGCCAAAGCAATTGGAAAGACACAATTTGGGAAAACCTGGGAAAAGGGCAGTTCTAGAGGGAAATGAGGCTATTTACCCAATGTCTGACTTTGGAAAAGGTGCTTAACTACCCTGAATCTTAGTTCCTCAATGGTTATCCATTGGTTATAATTTTTGCTTCGCTGCACCGTGGTCGTGAGAATTGAGTGAGATCATGAACTCTGTACTGGCATACACGCGTATTCAATGTGTCCTACCCACAGCCCTGGGATAAATACATGACCATGAAACTTCATCTGGTAGCAACTATAAGAAGACTCTGCCTATGAATGTGCACTTTCTTGCTCCTCATCCCTGCTTCTTCCACATAGAAGTAGACAGTCCTTTCTGACCTTGTAAGTTTTCTTTCTTCAAGGTCTTGAATGGTGATGGAGATGACAATGATGCTAACAGCAGCTGCTGGTGGGGTGCTGATATGTGATCATAGTCTCAAGACCTTGAAGTTTTTATAATACGTCAAGGCCATTATCTCATCTGAATCCAGAAAGGCAGGAATTATAACAATTTTCAAAATAGGAGAATGAAGTATTTAAAAACAAGAACAAACAAAAAGCCTGTCTATAAACCCAAGGAGATACACCTGGCTACCTTATGGATCCTCCTCTAATCACAAGGAGGGAAAAGTAGGTGGAGAAAAGGGACCTGAATTAGGTCCCTCCTCCATCTTTGAGTACAAATGTCACCCGACTGTATCCAAGTGTGCCCAGCTATGAAATGGACTGTCTTTACTCCTCTGCCCCCCAGGAGAGGGCCTGCTCCCACGAGGTCCTGGTTTCCTGTCTTGTCCACTGGAACAGGTCTGGTGTTAATAAATGTGTCCTGGGGGCTGTTTTACTGCATCTGAGGTTTGGACATGTGGGTGTCCTACATTGTCCTGTTCAGTTCCTCCTCTCGGTTCTTCCCAGCCATTGAGGTAGCAGATAAGGGGACTGGAGCCCAGAAGAGTCAGTGTGCTTAAGGCCACACAATTAGCAAATGCTGTTTGAATTCCAACTCTGAGGCTTGTACCCAGCAAGGGGAATTCCTGCACATGCTCCCTCCTTCCTTTTCCTTCCAAACTGGAAAAGGGGATCAGCCCAGCTGCCTGCTCCCCTCCATGTACCAGGTGCCAGAACACAGCTGTCTCTCCATTGTTTCCCCTACCCAGGCAAGCTGAGCTGGGTGGGGTTACCCAGTGTTGCATCCAGCTAGGCTGTCTCCACTGCAGGAAGATCCAGCCAGAGACTGATTCTGAGCAGCAGTCCTGACTGGTGAGAGCTGAACTGATCGGTGGGTGTAGGGGGCCGGGGTGTTAAGGATTGCAGGTCTGGGTGGATCAAGAACCCCCCAAAAGAAAAATTAGAATTGCCTGGGGAAGAATTGCTGGACTGAGGAAGAAAAGTTGGGGAATGTCAGGGGGATGGAAGGGGTCCCAGGAACAGTAGAGCCCCTGGAGACAGGGAAGGGCTGGCTGTGAGTTCTAGCTCCAGTTTTTCTCTCCCCATCCGTGCTGTGGTGAAACCCCCTCTACCAGCTACCTTGCTTAGAGAAAGGGAAAAGCAACCCACAAATTGGTAAACTGAAGAGAGGGGGGGCACTCCTGTCCACCCATGCTTTTGGCAGGTGAGGTGGGAGCAGGAAGCACAAGGTTAGAGCCTCCGTTGCCTTCGCAGCGCCGAGCTCGCCATGCCTGCCCCGCTGCTCCCACTGCTGCTGCGAGGACTGCTCTCCCGTCTGCTGCTTCCTGCTGCCCGCCTGGCCCGCCAGCACCTCCTGCCCTTGCTGCGTCGGTTGGCCCGTCGCCTGAGCTCCCAGGATGTTCGAGAGGCTCTTCTAGGCTGTTTGTTGTTCATCCTCAGCCAGCGACACCCGCCAGATGCTGGGGAGACCTCCAGAGTGGACCGCCTGGAGAGAAGGGAGAGGTTAGGCCCCCAGAAGTGAGGCTGCACGTCCTGGCAGCAGCCATAGCCATCGCAGTGCTTTCTCCTGGAGTAGGAGTAGTTCTGGCAACAGCACTAAAGCAGCCTGCCCACTGGGCAGTCCAGTGGGGATCTGACCTGAAGGCCTCCCCCTCCCAGCAGACATGTCTTTGTAGAAGGATGCCTCGCATCTCACAGACAATTGATCACTGCCCCTTCCTCCTCCTGCAATTCTTCTCAAAGATCTTTGCTAACAACCTCTGACCTCAGGGGAGAGGAGACCTCACCTCCTGGTAAATGAGGACAATTTATCTAAGAGGTGATATTTGAATCCAGACTGTTGGTCTTCCAGACTTGGGACCTACCTACCTTAAAATATGATTTTGGTTGCCTTTGGAGGCAGCACTGTTCCTAAAGCCCAGCACAAAGCAAGTGCTTAATAAATATTTGTTGAATTCTTGGGATGCTCCTTTGAAAGTTTTGTCACCTACACCTCAATGGTTGGCAGGTAGGGAGGGGGCTGGAGGAGAGGATCACTGGGAGGCTTCCTTTGGCTGTTTGTTTCATTGTCCACCTCAGTCTTCAAAACCTTGAAGTTGTTTATAGTGTCTAACTTTGCCCAGAAGGTCACACTTCCCCTAGTTATGGTCTGGGTCTGTTTTAGAGGAAGGTTGGCTGCTAGCTCACAGAGGGAGAAAAAACCGTTTGAGTCAGTTTGGAGTCATCTCAGCTAAAGGTGGTGAGAAGCGGGAGACTTGTTTGCTAAGCGACCCTGCGGGTAGCCACCGGAGAGGGAGGGGGCAGTGTAAAAATGTAGGACTTCAAGGACCTAGGAAAAAATAGGGAGGGGTAGCCTGAAAAAAATCAATTCCTTATTCTCCCTTCCCCAAAAGGAGGCAACTGGGGATGTGTGTGTTTCCAGTAAGAGTTGTCAGGCACATTTGCATCCCAGCCTCCGGATGATTTGTTTATGGTTCCCATGCAATAATCCTATTTCCCTGAGTCTTGGGCTCTGGTTGAGAGGGGGGATAGTAATGAATACAGGTTCCTCTCGGGATCCCCATTCAATCCCTTGTCCAGAGAAGCGACACCAAGGCTGTGCACCCTCACTCCAGTAGGACTTTCCCCGCCCCAGTCGCTTCCCGACGAGGTCATCCACTCGCTCTTGCCTCTCGAGAGGACGACCTGGGGTAGAGGCGGAGTAAAGGGGGTCTGAGTCCCGGGTTCCCTAACCCTGTCCCTTCGGAACACTGGCTGCTCGGCCCACGAGCCCCTCCCACTGAGGCTCCCTCACCGCCGGCGTCCCGAAACGCTCTGCGCCCTCGAGCGGCGAACGGCGCCAGGCGGGACTGAGAGCCTGCCGCGGATCGCTGGGCGGGCGCCGCAATCGCCAGTTGCAAACCTCCCGCCCGGCGGCAAAGACCCGGTCCACCCCGGCGCGGGCAGCGCTCTGGGGCCATGGACATAGCCTCAGGCCGGAGGTAAGGAGGCCCGGAGGGATCCCGGATCCGCCGGCCTGGGAATTTCCGTCCTCTCTGCCAAGTCCGGATGCCCCCGCCAAAGTCTCAGCAGGTGCGCAGGGAACGGCGGCCGGGGCGGCGGGGGAGCGCGAGGCGCGCGCCGGGCAGGGGCGGGCTCTGCGCGGTTCTCACGCTGCTCCTGCAGTCTGATCCTCTATGGATTCTGAATCTGCGGTTTCTAGAAGGGAGGGTAGTTTTCTGGGAATTTGAAGGTGACTCCCCCTCTTCCTTGATCTCAGCTATTTACAATTGCCAGAGGTCAGAGATCTGCCTAGAGCAGAAGTCGGGGGCCTGAGCAGACCCAGTGAACAAAGACTTAATTCTTCTTGAACCCTGACCTAAAACCCACCCTTTGTACACACCTGTCTTTATTTAAAAATTCGACCTTGTATTAATCATTGATTCTTTTTATTAAATTTGGGTTTTTAAAAATTTATTAGTTGTAGTTGGACACAAAACCTTTATTTTAGTTATTTTTGTGTGGTGCTGAGGATGGAACCCAGGGCCTCCACATGCTAGGCGAGCGCTCTACCGCTGAGCCACAACCCCAGCTCTAAATTTGGTTTTTGAACATTTCACTAGGGCTGAAGTGTAGCTCAGTGGTGTCCCTAGTATGTTCAGGGTCATGTTCATGAACCCCAGCACATAGTTGATCTTTTCTTTGCCTTTCTTTTCTTTCTCTCGCTTCCTCTCCTTTCTTCTTTCTTTCCTAGTACTGGGAATTGAACCAGGGGCGCTCTACCACTGAGCTACATCCCCAGCCCTTTTTATTTTTTTTTTATTTTGAGACAGGGCTTCTCTAAGTTGCCTAGACTGTCCTGGAACTTGCCTTCTTCCTGCCTCAGTCTCCCTAGTACCTGGGATTACAGGCCTGCATCATTGCACCCAGCTGATACCCAACACTTCCAAACAAACCAAAATTCCACATTGCATTACAAATTTATCATGATGATGATGATGATGATGATTTTGGCATCCCTTAAATTTGGTGTCTTAGGTAGCACTTCACTGTCCTCACTCTAGAACCAGCCCTGCCACAAAGGCCATGAAGACAATCACAAACACAACTGAAAACATGACACATGTTCTAGTGATAACCCCCCCGGGCTCAGCAAATACATTTCCAGCAAACACAGATGGCTTGTTGATGACAGCTGAGAGGACACAGGCCTGGAGAGAGAGGGCTGTGTGCTGGTGGTGAGGCATGCTTACAAGTAACCCAGGGGAGAAGGAGTCTGGAGCATGCCATAGTCCCCAGTGGAATAGGGAATAAGGTGGGTATGGGGGTCTGAAGGACCAAAGTTCCCCTCCATTCCCTGTGACTGAGATCTGATTCCATGAAGGGAGAGAACCACTGGGCAGAGGACTAATTTAGCTAGAAAATCTCCAGGCACAGACCTGTGTTAGTGGGCCTCCGAAGGCTGTCCAGCAGAGGGCGTGGACAACCAGCCACCTTCTCTGTCTGGGAAGGCCACCGTGATGGGTATGGGTCTGGCCCTGGCCCAGGCAGGGTGTGTGCCAGATAGACTTCTCTCCAACAATAATAGGCCTGGCTGTTGCCATCCCTTGAGCAGGGCAGGCCCCATGGGGATGGGGAGAGGAACCAACCTTCCCTAGTCTGGTCTCCTGGGGACCCTCACCACTTCCTCCTGTTTCCTCATACTTCCAGCCCCCTTTGCACACAACTGCAGCCACTAACCACCGAACCTGGCTGTGCCTAGCGGATCTCTCTGACCACCAGTCCTGCCACCCCCACAGGGCCAGAGCCAGAAAGGAAGGTGGGAATGAGGCAGGGGGCCAAGGAGAAGGGGAGGCAATAGCAAGGTGAGGAAGAGAGAGAGACCGGACAAACATGAGGGTAGGAACCCAAGGTTGTGGACAGACATGAGCCACTCAAAAGCCAAGGGACAGTGCCTAGAAAAATACCACCCACCCCATCTTCCTGCCCTCTGTTTGCTTCCTGCTGTGGGGAAGATGTGTATCATCTCCACCAGAGCTATAAGGCTGGGGACACCTCTACCCACTGCCCTATATAAAACCCCTCCCTCCTCAGGGCCCAGGCTTTCTTGGGGAGAGGGATGATTTTGCAGTGTCCCTATGATTTTAGTACCACTAATTGTTTGATGTTATTTTTTGGTACCAGGGATTGAACGCAGGGGCCCTCAACCACTGAGTCCTTTTTTGTATTTCATTTAGAGACAGGGTCTCAATAAGTTGATTATAACCTTGCTAAGCTGATTAGAACCTCCATAAGCTGCCAAACCTGGCTACAAACTCACTGTTCTCCTGCCTCAGCCTCCTGAGCCGCTGGGCACCCAGGCGCTAATTGTTAATTAGTGTGTATGACTTCTCCAGGGGACAGGCCTCTGGGGTAATTGAGGGTGGGGTAAGCAGCCTAGGTTGAATTTTCTCTCCCCAGGACACTTCCAACCTTTGGATAGTCCTAAAGCACTGAGCACTGAGGTAGGGGCAGAGAATGACCCCCTGATTTACTTTCCAACAAGAACAAAAAGGAATCCCTGCTCCTCCCTTGGAGGTACATGGTGGACCCCTCCTCAACACGGACCCCATCAGCCAGGGAAGGATATGGAGCTCAGCAAGGATTCCACCTCTGACCTATATCGTCTCTGGGACAATGGGATTTGTGCAGGATGTTGGGCTCTTCCTGGCTTTCTCTTCCATTCCCAGCAGTGCCTCAGTTTTCCAAAGTGCTCGATTTAGAAACGGTAGATCATGAGGGAGCCCGAGGACTCTGCCTCTCTCCCCTACACAGAGACAAGAGACAGAGACGGAGACACTCATCCCTTCAAGTCAGAGCTGTGGGTGGCATGATGTTTATGGACCTATGGCCATGTGTATGTGTCATGGGTAAGAAAAACCCACCACACAGGTCACAAATGATTGAGTCGTAAGGATCCCACAAGGGAGTGGGTGAAAGGGACAGAAGTCTTATTGAAACGAAAGGAGAAGGGATCTAAACTGGAAAAGGTGGGACACTGGAAAGAAAGGAGGCTCTGTGTACTGTAGAGGCGTGGGCGGGGTTTGGGGCGGGATAACGGAACACCTCAGCTGAGCCTGGCGGATCCTGGCAGTGGGGGCGTCCGGGCCTGTGAAAAGTCCCTGGGATGGGACTTTGCACAGCCTCGGCGCGGAAGGGACTAGGGGCGCCTAGTGTCGAGCTGTGCCCTCCAGGCCCACACGCCTAATAACGGGCTGGGTTAGTGTGGCCCTAAGAAATAATGCGACCAGATGGCCCTGGGACGCAGGGTGTCCTGGTGCAGGCCCCGGCGCTTGCAGATCTGCTAAGCGGGAGACCCTGGGGGCGGGGGGCGGGGGCGGGGCGAGGCCGGCAGGGTAGCGGGAGGTGGTGGCGGGCGCGGACCGGGGGCGGGCTCAGCGGAGGGCGGGTTTGAAAGCTCTCCTGCGGGCGCGGGAAGCTGCAGAGAAAGCGCGCAGGTCTCCGCGCGGAGGAGTTCTTCTCCGGCAGGTGCTCCGAGGGTCTTGGGTGGGCGCGTGCTGGGGACGGCCGGGCGTGGGGTGGCGCGTCCAGCTTGCCACGAGGGAGGGAGGCCAGGCCAAACAGCTCCGCGGCCTAGCGACCGTCGCTTCCCTGGCCTGACTCGTGCAGAGCGCGCAGCACGTGGCACACCCAGGCTCTGGGCGCTGGGGATTTCTGTGGGGACCACAACCGGAGTGGGGCATGGGTGGCCTGGCTCCCGGGCCTAAAAGCTGCTGTTGCCTCGCGGACCTCCACAAGACGCAGGCGAGGGGACAGTTAATCCTGGTCGATTGTCTTCAAGACATGGGAGGGGCCAGGACACCGTGTTCGCAGTGAGGGGGATGGGGATGGGGGCGACGCAGATGGAGGTAGGGGAGCTGTCCCTTTAAGTATCTCTTTTATTGGCCAAATTCTTGTCCCTGACCTCCCGTTCCTGGCGCGTCCTCGTTTACTTACAGAGTAAATGAGAGACAAGGATAGCAAACGCCGGGCTTTATCCTCGGGGGAGAGCAGCGATGGGCCCTCACCCTCCTAGGGATGTCTCCCCAACCCTGTACCGACCCTTGGCTCACTCATCTTAGTAACCTCCAGACCCTTGGACTTGTCCTCCTGTCTATGAGTTCTTCGTGCCTGAATGTATATGTGTGATGGGATGGAGATGAGGTACCCTACCTCTGACATTCATGTCAGGCTGGGAATGATCTGGGCCCCCACTTTATTCTTCTATTTATTTATTTATATTTATAGGGGGTGACTGGGGATTGAACCCAGGGGTGTTCTACCATTGATCTTCATTCTCAGCCTTTTTTTTTTTTTAAACAGAGTTGCGCTAAATTGCCAAGGCTGGCCTCAAACTTGCTATACTCCTGTCCCAGCCTTCCCAATAGATGGAATTATAGGCCTATTTTTTCCCTTTAATTGCAGCAGTGCCCCCCCCCCCTCCCCAGTCTACAGGGACATCTGGGAAGCAGTCTTTATACCTCCCTGCCCAGCCGGAAAGGAACCTAGAATGAAATGAGCATTGAGTTTGAATCCTGGCTCCCCATTCACCTACTCAGTGAACTTGGGCAAGTGACCCAACATCTCTGAACCCCGGCTGGCCCATCTGCTCAGCAGAAACAATCTAGAACTAGCTTCTGGATAGTTGAGAGAAAGAGGGGATCTACAGTAGTGACTGGCCTATAGGGCACCCTGGGGAATGGAGATTTGATGTAGCACAAAGGTATGCCTGGAAGTTGGGTTGAGAGGTGTTAGGAACCTAGGGGCAGGGAGGGGCTCCATTTTGTGACTGCTTTCAAGACTTGACAGGCCAAGGCATGGCCCTGGGACACCAGATGGTCTGAGCTGGTATCAGATCCCTGGTTGCTGTTGGGCAAAACCTGACAAGAACAAAACACCTAAGTTGGCCAGTGGAATGTGAAGATGTGTGCAGGGGTGGAGGGGTGCCCAGTGGAATTGCAGGGCACCCAGGACTGGGGTGAGGACTGTGTAGAACAGGGGCCGGGCTGGGAAAGAAGACAAAAATAGACATTTCTCCAAGCCTAATGCACTTTGCTAAGGGGAGGGGGCTATTCTGCCAGGAGCCCTTTGTGTTGGGGTAGGGTGGAACACCGGCTCTGTGGAGGTGAGAGATGGCGGGGTCCCTCCCTGGTACAGATGAAAAACCTGAGTCCTTCCTCCACTCCAGCAGAGCCCTCTTGTCCTTATCCCTCTAGAAGACATCAATACTATTGTTTGCCACTCTGTCCCCAGTGCCTAGCAACAATGCTTGGTTGCATACTGAGGTCCTTAGTAAATATTTGTTGAAAGAGGATTGGAAGAAGAAGCCCTTCTCCTCCATTTGGAGGTACGCTCCCACCCCTACGACCCAGCTTTGGACTGAGGGATGAGGAAGATCTGTGGAGTCTAGAGTTTACCCAGGGAGGAGTGAAAAAGCCCATTGAGGGTCTCAGAGTCCCCTGCTGTCACTGCTGTGACCTTCAGGTGCAGGGGGCTCTCCTTGCAATCTTATCTCCCCAGCAGCTCTGGGCCTTTTATCTCCTGGGTTTGCTTTTGTGCTCATGAGGCTTCTCAGAAAGAGGCCCATGAGGCCAGAGGGGTCCTCTCTTGCTTTGCCCCATACCACCTTTTTCACTCTAGGCCCTCCTTCAGGACCATGTGGACAAGGTCTGCTGCCCAGCCTGCCTTAGGACCCCCTCCTAGGGACTGCCCAGGCCCCTTCTGTTCTCCCCTTCTGTTAGTGAGTCTAGGCAAGTGCCTGGACAGGGAGCAGAAGGCCGGCCTCCAGACAGCAGCAGACCTGGTTCCAGAGCTAGGCTCACCTGGAGGGTGGGCCAGTGCATGCCAGCGTGGCCACCCAGGCCATCTAATGGAAAGCTGTTTAACCTTCTGGTGCCAGGGAGCCTCCTACACAAGTGAGGCACAGAGAGGAATGCCGAGGCCGGTGGCTGGGAGCTTTGGGACTCAGCAGTTTGGGTCTGTGCCTGAGGCCCTACACCTCCAATCTTCCCTTTAAGCCAATCTCAGAAAGGAGAAGAAAACATCGGCCTGGAGTGGAACTCACAGGGGGATGGGATGACCTTTGGGCCAGCACTGGGGGTCAGAGTGGCTGGTCTGGGTTGTGAGAAGGGTCACATCCCCACACCCTTTGTGAAATATTTCCCTGGAAATCTGGCTGGGAATTAGGAAGCCTCTGGGCAGTGGTTGAAAAGAAAGGTTTAAGATGCCCCTAGGAGAGAGGCCAGTCTGAGGTGCCTTCAGTAGGGGACAGGCTCCACAAAGCCTACCCTGTCCTTGAATCCAGGGGCTCCTGGGTAAATTGACAGATCAGACTTGCGGAGGGGGCCTGGGGCCTCTGCAGATTTGTTTGGTTTTTGTTCTGTGCCTTGCTCCCCCTGCCTCTGGCTGTCCCCTCCACTTTGTTCCTGTCCTCCAGCTCACCTTCCATTGTCAGCATGGCCTCTGACCCTTCTCATCTCTTCTCTGTCTTTGACTGTCTTTCCTTCTCTCTCAATCATGCTTCCTCCTCCTTCTTTCCTGCTCTCCACCCTCCTGTTTCCCAGCTTATAAACTGCTTCGGCTGCTGGATAAAAATAGCGGTGGCAGCGGCCAGGCCGGGAGCCAGGTGGAGGCTGAGCAGCCATAGGGGCCCCATCAGACTGGCCTGCTGGGCCAGAGGGTCTATCCGAGTGGTCCTGAGGGGCAGGACCCAGAGGGGATCCCGTGGGACTCTTCACTTGCCCGCTCTGTCTGCCTCGTCCCCTCCTCCCCACAAGAGTCTGAGGAGGGCTTGGTGGAAGCAGGGCCTCCCGTTGCTTCTGCCCCCAGCAAGCCTCAGAGGGAGGGAGCCGTCAGCCAGGCGCAACTGAGAACAACAGCACCATGACCACCACCAGTCACCAGCCTCAAGACAGGTAGGTACTGGGGGCAGGGGAGGGGACCTGGGCTAGGGATCAAGGGAATGGGTCTCCAGGGGGGTGGGGGCAGTGTTCCTTGGAATTTGGAATTGCCACCACAGGGTGGCCAGGTAGCTCTGAGTCAGGTCTGCTTTGGGCTGGGAACCATGCATGTCTTGGCTGGGTGATGGCAGGGGAGCCTGCAGGGGGGCATGAGGTGGCAGCAGCCTGTCTGGCCTGTCGGTGTTCCAGTATTGCACTCCAGCTAGTCCCACAGCTTCTGTCCCCTTCCGCCACCACTGGGGAGATACTTGGCAATACCCTTCATTCCAGAGCACATCTGGCAAAACCTCCCTGTCCCTCAGGACTACCCTGGGGCCTGTGCCTCAGATTACCCCACCCCACCCTGGTCCTAGATATAACCTTCCCACTTCTGGAGCCTGTGAACTCCCTCAAGTTAGAGCTGCCGTAGCAATGAGGAAGAGTTTTGGAGGGAGAGACTGTATGGGTTCGAGCTCTATAATGGTTTGGGACATGACAGTGTTGATGAAGCCCTGCCACACTTTAGCCAGGCTTCAGGCTGTCCTTCCCTCTGCCTCGGGCCACCACACCCCCCCTCACATTTCCCCTGCCTACCTTCTTTTCTTTCTGCGCCAGAGTTTATGGAACCAGGCCACTTTGTGGGGTCTTTTAACTTGGTCTCTTGGGGACCGTTTCCCCACCTGTGAAACAGATAAGAATATCCACTTCACAGGGCTGTATGGAGGGGAGAGAATTGAAGTAAGGCCCAGGTGCTTCCTCCCTTCCCAGGCAGCCCGGTGCCCCAGCCTGGCCCCCTCTTCTGCGGTGGTTCCCTGAAGCCCTCTCCCCTCTTCACCACCTGTCTTCCCACCCCACCTCTGACCCTCTGTCCTGTATGACCTTGCCTGGGAGTTTTGCCCTTCATTATGGGCCTCCAAATCAACCCTTTAGCATGTTTACTTCAAGGGGGATATGAAGGCTTTGGGGACTGCATTTGTCATAGCTCAGATCTATCTATTTGGGGCACTCACCAAGATCCTCTCCATATGAGGTGTGTGATGTTCCCCTACCCCGTGGCCAGGCCTCCTCCTCAGTGCCTTGGGTCAACTCTGAAGAATGTGAGTCTTGGCTGCTGGGAGGGTATGACACACATATCTGGAGATAGCCATGGGCCTTAGTGACCCTGGTGCACCAGGTTGCTAAGCTTGTAGGTAAGGCCTACATAATTAAATACTGGCCTGGCTGGAGCTGGGTGGTCTTTATTTATACCGGGCCCAGATGTCCAGTGGCTACAGACCTCTTGGCCTGCCTTTGGTAGTATGACCTATAAAACCAGTTCTGTCTGGACCAGGGGGAAAAAAAAACAGCAGTAGCTCTCTCCTTCCCTGCCTCCCAGGCACCCCACCTTCCTGTTCTGCTAGATCCAGAATGGTCTGGGAGCTTCTTGACCTCAGAATCCTCTTTGGGGAACCATACAGTTCCTGCCCAGATGCACAATCACTTCCAGACAGCCAGCCTGGTGGGAGCAGAAGACTCCTCGCTGTTTGTTTTCTCACTCACCCGCCCACCCCAGCCCTTCAGCAGGATTTTCAAAACCATCTCCGGATATGTGGGTCACACTGGTTCCCAGCCTGCAGGATCCGCTGAGTGTTTGAAGGCTGAGAACCAAGGTCCTATCTGCCATGCCATTCAGTCCTGGGTCCCTGGACTCCACGTATTCCCTGGGAGAACTGAAGAGATTGAGGGCAGGGAGGAAGGGGTCTCAGGTTGACCTGGAAGGGTGGGTAGGATGGCGGGTCACTTGGCTTCTCTTTCCTCCCATCCCAGATACAAAGCTGTCTGGCTTATCTTCTTCATGCTGGGCTTGGGGACACTGCTCCCCTGGAATTTTTTCATGACAGCCACTAAGGTGAGACGGGGGGGAACTGGGTTCCATGGGGGCATGTCCTCTGGGCTTCCAGGGCCTGGGTATGTGCATTTGGGCATAGGAAGGGACAGAGGTTTCAACATTTTATCTGCAACCCTTGCAGTATTTCACAAACCGCCTGGACATGTCTCAGAATGTGTCCTTGAATGCTGCTGTATTGAGCAAGGACATACAGGACCCAGCTGTCCCCACAGCACCCTTACCAGAACACAGGTCTCTCAGTGCCATCTTCAACAATGTCATGACCTTGTGTGCCATGCTGCCACTGCTGCTCTTCTCTTGCCTTAACTCCTTCTTGCATCAGAGGTGAGTACCTACCTCTGCCCCAGCACTGCCATTACTGCCTCCTGCCCACCCCTCATTGCTACCCGGGGCCTCTCCTGCAGGATCCCCCAGTCTGTACGGATCCTAGGCAGCCTAGTGGCCATCCTGCTGGTATTCCTGGTCACTGCCATCCTGGTGAAGGTGCAGCTGGATGCTCTGCCCTTCTTCGTCTTCACCATGATCAAGATCATACTCATTAATTGTAAGCTTGGGCCGGGAGCGGACGAATGTCATGAGCAGTTGGGGTTCAAAGGCTTGAACCTGCCTGGGCTGGGCTGGGTGTGAGGCAGAGAGAAGTTCAGCATCAAACCTCACTGGGAGGGGCTGGGGTTGTGGCTCAGCAGTAGAGGCTCGCCTAGCATGTGTGGGGCGCTGGGTTCCATCCTCAGCACCACATAAAAATTAAAAAAAAATAAAGATATTGTGTTCAAAGATATTTTGTTCAACTTAAAAAAAAAAAAAAAAACTACAAAAAAATGCCTCACTGGTAGCAAGCAGGAATCACAGGGCCTTATTTTCCTTTGGACCCTTGACTGCCAGCCCCACCATCCCTTGCTGATACTCATCCTGTTCCCCAGCATTTGGCGCCATCCTGCAGGGCAGCCTGTTCGGTCTGGCTGGCCTCCTGCCCGCCAACTACACAGCCCCCATCATGAGTGGCCAGGGCCTGGCAGGCCTCTTCGCCTCAGTGGCCATGATCTGCGCCATTGCCAGTGAGTCCTAACGTTCACCTGCCTACTGCCCTGGGGGGGGTGTGGGGGAGAAGGGATGGGGCCTCTCTCTGATCACAGACCTTGTCTATCTCAGGTGGCTCAGAGCTGTCAGAAAGTGCCTTTGGCTATTTTATCACAGCCTGTGTGGTTGTCATTTTGGCCATCATCTGTTACCTGGGTCTGCCCAGGCTGGTGAGCAAATGGAGGGATCTGGGGTTTGGTGGGTGGGGAGGTTCAGGGTCTAGACCAAGAGTCTGGAACTGAAACTGGGGGAGGCAGGAGTTCCAGCAATGCCTCTGACTCTGCCTCCCTGTCTCCCTTGCTCGATAGGAGTTCTACCGCTACTACCAGCAGCTCAAGCTTGAGGGGCCTGGGGAGCAGGAAACCAAGTTGGACCTCATCAGTAAAGGTCTCATAGCCAAAGGAAGCAGCGGGGGCGGGCGGCATGCCAGGCAGGAGCAGCATGAACATGAGCAGAGGGGACAAGAATGGACACACTGTATTAGCTGGCAGCCATGAGCCAGTGGAGGACAGAGCAACCAGGGGTGGAGGTAGGGGGACCGTAGGAAATGAGGGCTGGGAATGTTAAAATGTGGGGAGATCCTATGACCCTGATGCCCCAGGCATGTGGATTGAAGGCGCTAGGAAGCAGTTTCTGATTTGGGGTAGGGAGTCACATGACCTGAAGGTCCTGGGAATGGTTAATCCCTGGGTGGGGGGCTCAAGCCCTGGGGATTTGGAAGGGAGGTCTTAGCTAAGAGTTAGGGTGCGGCTATGGTCCAGGTAAAGCTACGTCCACTGTAGCTAACCCTGTCTTTTCCTCCATCCTTCCCACAACAACAAGATTCTTCTACAACCTGTCACCTGCCAGGAGAGGAGCCAAGAGCGAGCAAAGAGGAGTCCGGGGTCTCAACCCCCAATTCTCAGGCTACCAGCAGAAACCCCTCTATTAGAGCCATCCTCAAAAATGTATGTGGGGCAGGGCTTCTTACCCTCTGTCCCTCACCTCTTTTCTTTCTTTTTGCTCCCTCCCTCTCCCTTTCCTCTAGTTCCCTTTTTGACCCAAGACTTGTCACATTCCTGGATTCTTTCTTATATGTGCACACCTGCATGTGTATTTTCTTGGTTCTTTAATGCCAACCACATGAAGACAGGGATCCAGAGAAGCCAGGTGTGTGGTGGGGCACACTCAATCCCAATGACTTTGGAGGCTAAAGCAGGAGGATCACAAGTTCAAGGCCACCCTCAGAAACTTAGCAAGATCCTGTCTAAAAATAAAGGATAAAAAGGGTTGGGGATGTAGCTCAGTGGCAGAGTGTCCATGGGTTCAATCCCCAAAACCAAAAAAAGAAAAAGCTGACTGAATCTTATTCCTTTTCTCTAGATCTCAGTCCTGGCCCTCTCTGTCTGCTTCAACTTCACGGTCACCATTGGATTATTCCCTGCTGTGACTGCTGAGGTCAAATCCAGCATCGCAGGCACCAGCGCCTGGGGTAAGGACACTGCAGCTTCCCGACACATAGGGTCTCAGGCAGGACTGGGAATGAAGTTGAGCGAGCCTGGATTGCCTTCTACCCAGGCAGACCTTTCTGGGTCCATTTGTCCTTCCCTGCGCTGGAAGCATCTTTTCTTTCTGTATGGTTGGGGAAGGCGAGGGCCAATGAGGGCCGGAGTTGCTTGTCTGTTTCTCTTCCCTTACTCCTCCCCGTCCTCTTCCAGGAGATTACTTCATTCCTGTGTCCTGTTTCTTGACTTTTAATATCTTTGACTGGTTGGGCCGGAGCCTCACAGCTGTTTTCATGTGGGTAAGTGGAGGAAGGGATATTGGTCCCCTCTGGGAAAAAGGAGTCCAGCCTGAGAGCCAGAAAGGGGGCCATTTTTTTTTTAAAGATCCAGACATAATTTATATATAATTAAGTGTGTAAGTCTTACGTGTACAACTTAACATGTGTGTGTGTGTGTGTGTGCACCTATCCAAATCAAGTTGTAGAACATCCCAGCACTCCACAGGGCGCTCCTGATCAATGTCCCCCTAAAGGTAACCAGGCTTAGAGGCCAGTCCAGTCCCCAGGGTCTCTAAATTGAACCCAGGGCTCAGCCTGGCTGAGGCACTGCCCTGTCCCTGCAGCCTGGGAAGGACAGCTGCTGGCTGCCGAGCCTGGTGGTGGCGCGGCTGGTGTTTGTGCCGCTGCTACTGCTGTGTAACGTCCATCCCCGTCGCTACTTGGCTGTGGTCTTCAAGCATGATGCCTGGTACATCTTCTTCATGGCCGCCTTCGCCTTCTCCAACGGCTACCTCGCCAGCCTCTGCATGTGCTTCGGGCCCAAGTGAGTGGGGCCAGGCATTTGTCAGGGTCTAGAGCGCCAAGCAGGGACCCTCAGTGAAGAGAAAGAGGGCAAAAGGAAACTTTCTGGTGCTGAAGCTGATGGCCGCGGGGGAGGGGCTGGAGAGCCGTGGTAAGGGCTGGGGTGCCCGGGCTGCTTAGGTGGAGCTGTGGGAAGGACCTGTTGGGGCAGCATGGAAAACACCTCCTCAGTACACAGTCCCCGAAGAGGCAGAAACAGGTGGGGGTAGGAAAGGAGGACAGATTGGTCTCCCTACCCCAGATACTGGGGACTGTGGCTGGGGTCGGGGCTGGGCAGTCAGCCCTGGGTCGTCTTCCTTCCCTCCTTTAGGAAAGTAAAGCCGGCCGAGGCGGAGACCGCGGGAGCCATCATGACCTTCTTTTTGAGTCTGGGCCTGGCACTGGGGGCTGTCCTCTCCTTCCTGCTTCGGGCAATTGTGTGACCATGGATGGACAGAAGGACTGCACTGCTGACCTGCCCCCTGCCCCTTTTGCCAAGAATGAGCAGGGTAGTCTGAAGGTTTTCTCTTCTTTTAAAGCCAACTTCTGCTTTCTTATGCCCTGTGTGGGGCCTGGATGTCCAGGCCCTGGGGAGGGAGCCTCTGATGGACACTGAGAACACTGGGCTTGAGGGTCAGACAGGAGGGGCATGGCCTCTGACTGATGGCTGACTGGTCCCTGCAAGGCAGGTGAGGCTCCTGGGCTCAGAGAGCGTGTATAAGTGTTTTGTTTCTGTCTGCCTACACCAGGGGTGGCTGGGGGGCCAGGACTGACCGTTGTATGGTCTGATCTGATATTTCCCCTCCCTCCTTTCTCCCTGCCCCTTTCCCCTGCCCTTCACCCATCCCTACCCATCATACACACTATATTAGATGCTATTTTACTGCCTTTTTTTAATATATTCAACAGAAACAGGTGCCTTCAGAGGCTCTCTGATTAAATTTTAAAAAAATTTTTTTTCCTCTCTGTGCCTCCCTGTGTCCTCAGGCGACAGCTTAATGCCTTGGCATGGTAGAAGATAGGAAGTATGGGTCTGGAGGGATGAGCAGGACCCAGCTGTGGGCCTGAGGGGTTGGGCCTCAGAGGAGCTGTAGTGCCCCCTGCTGGGCCCACAGGGGAGGGACAGGCCTCCAGCCAGGACACCCGAACTGTGGCCCAGACAGAAAAGCCAAGTTTTTTCTTTGTTGCTTCATTTCTCCTTTCACAAGGCTGGAGACAGAGACAGCTTCTTGTCTTTTCTTGGTCTTAACTTCTACCCACCCCCCAACTCTGTCCTCAGTCCCTGCAATGAACTCTGAAAAACTGGCCAGCTCCACCCCCAGCTCTTGGCGGTACTCCTACATCACTGGGCAGGAAGAGGCTGAGGCCTGAGGGTTCTCCCCTGCCTGGCACCCAGCCCTGACACCAAAAGCTCTGCCTGCCAGACTTCCTGGGGAACAAGGAGCCTATGTGTCCCTCATATTGAAGCTGGACTTCTTCCTTCTCAGCCCAAACTCTAGCCTAAGGAGGGGTGGTTTGGAATGGGACTGTGAGAGTCTCAGTGAAGGGGTCCTTACCACTGAGACCCCTGCCCAAGAATGACTGCCTGGCTAGAGGGAAGTGCAGTCCTCTAGTCATGGTGACCCTCCAGCCCCAGCACTTGGGTATGAGTCTCAGAAAGGCAGGAGGTTTTGCTGCCCTGCCTGGGCTGTCTGTTTACTGATCTCTGACCCTCACATTGCTACTGAGTTGGCACCTCTGGCAGAACTTCCTTGCTTACGGGAGTTTTTTTTAATTGAAGGCTTCAGCCCTCAATAAATTCTGTTAGCTTATTTTTCACTCTTCCATGAGCTCAAGCCCTAATGGGGTTGTTAAGTATACCATCATAGTGGGAACTGAAGTCCAGGTGCTAATTTGTCAAACTAGAGTATGTATCTGAGGTGAAGGTAGACAAGGTCTTCCTTCTAATCTGGTTCAAGCTGCCGGTTGCTTAGGATTCTTCCTCCTGATGTGATGCAAACTGAAGCTACAGACCTGAGATCTTTCTCCTCTGCTTGCCCTCAGGCCTCCCTGCCTTCTCCATTGTACCCAAACCCCAGATCCCTATTGGATCCCTATTGGATCTTCCTTAAGGCCAGCCCCTCCCCCCACCACCTGTATTTCTTCCAGAGGACCCTTTACCACTTCCCTACCTGGCTTTTTGGGACCAACTCCCAGGTCTTCTCTGATCCATCCCAAATGTGGCCACAAGAATAATCTTTTTTTTTTTTTTAATTTATTTATTTTGCGGTACTAGGAATTAAACTTAGGGGTGTTCTACCACTGAGCTCCATCAGCCTTTTTTTTTTTAATATATTTTTTTTAGTTTTCGGCGGACACAACATCTTTGTTTGTATGTGGTGCTGAGGATCGAACCCGGGCCGCACGCATGCCAGGCGAGCGCGCTACCGCTTGAGCCACATCCCCAGCCCCACAAGAATAATCTAAGGCCAGACATGGTGGTGCATACCTGTAATCCAAGCTACTGGGGAGGTTGAGGCAGGAAGATCACAAGTTCAAGGCCAGCCTTGGCAATTTAATGAGACCCTGTCTCAAAATTTAAAAAGGTAGTTCAGAGTTACATTGTTCCTGGGTTCCATTCCTGGTACTAACCAAAAAAAAAAAAAGAGGAAGAAGAAAGAAAAAAAGAATCTGAAAACCAATTTAGGGGTGTGTTCGTTCCTTGATCTGGAGTATGTACCTATCTTACTATTATGTTTTTATCTTTTTTCTCCCTGCTACTGGGGATTGAACACAAGCCTTGTGTTTGCTGGACAAGTGCTCTATCACTGAGCTACATCCCTCGCCTTTATTTTGAGCAGGGTCTTACTGAGTTGCCCAGGCTGACCTTGAATTTGGATTCTTCCTGCCTCAGCCTCCCACATAGCTGGGATTTTAGGTACATACCATAGTGGCTTATGTACTTTTCTTTGTCCAGCTACAAGACCACCATGTTTTTGAAGTTAGGTCTGTTTGACTCATGTTTTGGCTTTTCAATTTCAAAATGCTGTGCCTGGCTCCCAGAGGTACTTGGGAAATTTTGCTGCACTGCATCTGCTTGTGTCCTCGTGATATCTGTTGTTCCATCATCTCCACATGCCTGACTCCAGCTATGCGGTGGTGCTCATCGTCCATGCCCTGGCATGTTATGTAGGTTCCTCCCAATCCCAGCATGGTTCAAATAAAGAAAAGGCTACACCCATTTTCTGTACTTAAACTGATGTTAAAGGAAATTACTGGAATATCTTTTCTGAAAAGAAAATCTTATTAATGTAAATGCCAAAATTGGCAACTAGGTGCAGTGTCAGATTCTGACCACAAGTGGGCACTCTGCAAGCAACACTACACTGGGGGAGCCTGGTAGTAGGAAGCAGGGTGCTGTTGGCTCTGGTGTTCCTCTCTGCTTCCAAGAGGAAGGGAGGGCAGAGCTGGAAAATCTGCCAAGTATCCCTTCCTGCCATGACTTGATACTGCCCATCACCTGACATTTCCGCTCCAAATGGTCTGTCATCCTTCCTAGGGGCTGCCACTGCTACACAGAAATGTCTCTTTTTAGTCTTACGGTGAAATGTTGAGGCCTTGAACACTCTTGAAAAACTGAGCTCTAGTAAAATCAGCATCCATTCTTGAAAATAGAAATGAAGCCTGAGGTCTAATCAACAATTTGGAATATATGTTTATTTTTTGAGGAGAATGTGGAAAGAGCATGGTGTAGGTGAGTATGAGGGGTGGAATGATAGGGGACCCCTAATTCTTGGGAAAACAAAACCCAAATTGTTCTCAGGGTTAAACTATAATAGTGATTCAAAATGAACCTGAGCAGAGAAATGCAGAGTCACTTTTAAAGAGACAGTACTGCTGTCTGGCCTGTTGGCCCCGCCTGAAACCTGAGTCCACATACAGGAAGAGTGGCTGTCTTTTGGAGGGGCCAGCCAGCAGATCTGATAGAGGCCAGATTGGCAGTGTCCATGCAGGTCCTGGGGGGTTGTCTGGTTCCTGGGATGCATTGGCACTGAGCATAGAGATGGGCAGAGTTCCAACCCAATCCATCAGTGGCCTTGTGTCCTGGCTGGTTCCTGCAGCCTGTGCACATGAACTGGCCTTTGCCTGGTGCTCTCAGGCCTGGCTGTGCCCACTCAACCCTCTCTAGCCTTGGCTGTGTTGTGCTCCCTGCAAAGGGACAAGTTGGCGTTCCAGCTCCAGGCTGCTGTGAGTACTAAGTGGGTGAGTGGGTCAGTGTGGCCCATGAAGGCCTCTGCCCAAGAAGCTGCGGTCTCCTAGGCCTTTTGCCAAACAAGAGGGCCATCGTGTTTGGATTCAGAGCCTGGGATTCTGTTCTGGGCCTGCCACGCATTCTCTGTGGCTCTGGCTCCTTTCCTTAAAAGGGGAGGTCGGTATATGTATGGACTTGTTAAGGAAACAGAATCTAGATATAGGAGATGAGGTCCCCAGAGCCACAAGGTGCCATGGTCACTAGGATAAGCCTAAGCATGGCGGGGTCTCTTGTCTAGGCCACTCTGCTCTTCCCCCGTGCCATTCATTCCCCTCTTCCACACTTCCAGGACCTTGGAGCTTGAGAATCAAGCCATTCTTCCCCAGCCTAGCCATTTCCAGCGTGAACTACCGCCTGAGGGCCTGCTTGCCTCGGGACCGCTGGGAAACCTCACTGCACGTTTGGGGCCTGAAGCAGGGTGGGGGTGGGAACAGCCCGGCCAACGCCCCGCCCCTCGGGGAGGGGTGGAGGGTGACGTCACCCAGCGCGCAGGTGACTAGAGGACAGCCCACGCGCTCTGCTCATCTGGGCTGCTGAACCTGACCCTTTCCGTCTCGCAGCCACTCATGTGTAAAGCAGGAATAGTGACACTTGCCCTGCCTGCGGGCGTGGGATTGTGAGAGTCCACTCAGATCTGAGTCGCAGCGTCACTTTCACCACGGCTCTGTACTGTCTGGCGCATTGTTTCATCTGCTTCCCCAATAGCCCTATGAAGTGCTGACTAGTGCTATGCCCATTTTACTCTGGAAAACCAAGTTTGAAAGGTTGAAGGATGAAAAAAAAAAAACAAAACTGTAAACTGAATCAATCTGTCTCCTTGCACTCCCCATCCCCCAACGAATTACCAGGCAGCAAAGGAGACAAAAAGACACAAGGGATCCATCGCATGGCATCATACTGCAGGTGTGGTCTGCTACCTCCCATCTCTGAAACATCCCAGAGAATCGAGTCCGTTCACATTCCCAGGAGTTCCAAGCCTCTGGGATACTGAACTTTCATGGCAGCCTTCCAGATGATACCAACAAAATCACTGATGTCTAACCTCACCCCCACACCCAGATTTCCTCATCACCCAGCAGCACTGTCACAGACCTACTTGTCCCTTATCTGGGTGGAAGTGAACCAGTCAGGCACGGGTCCAGTGAATAGTTGAGAAATACAGTTAGTTGAGACCTGCATATTGAAAAGGTGTGCCGGCTGCCTGAGACAGGACAGGTGGCAGGTAGAACATTAAGTAGGTCAAGATTGTTTGTGGGGCCACTTGCCTTTGTGCCTTCCCCTGAGGCAATCTGAGACAAACAGATTGGGGTAATGTTTTACCTTCTTACTCAAATGGGGGCCTGGAACACTGAACAAAGCCCAAGACAAACGCTTGGGCTGGCTGGCAATGGCAGGCAGGCAAGACTTAGTCACAACCCTTGGGCCCTTGAAAAGGTGAGACACAGTCACATGTGTATTAATAGAGCAGATTACCAAAGATGCCTGGTTTGTAATTCAAGAATGGCTCCCCATTGCCCTAAGTGATTTTGTCTTGTCCTTGACATTAGCCATCAGCTTGATGGTGCCTAGCCCTACCAGTCCAGCCCAGGCCTCTCCATGTGTCCCTCTGCCTGCAGACCTCTCTCTTTGGTGTCCCACAACCTGTCTAAAACAGGCATCCTCAC